TGGCCCTTGCAGCCATTTAGGAAGTGAACCAATGGATGGAAGGTCTCTCTCTGTGCTAATTCTTCCTTTAAGATAAACAAGGTCATTTTAAAAAATACTAAAGAAAATGTGATATGGACATTATTTCAGATAATACAGATTTCCTCAGAAAATTAAAAAATAGAACTATCACGTGATCCAGCATTCCCACTTTTGGGCACATATTCAAAAGAAAGGAAACCAGCATGTCAAAGACCTACCTGCATCATCATATTTATTCCAGACAGGCTATGGAATCAGCCACCAATAAGTGAATGGGTAAACAAAATGTGGGGGGAGAGGAATTGGGCAGGGGGAGAGGAAACCCTAAGCTTATGGAACTGTATCACAAAAGGAAAGAAAGAAAGAAAGAAAATGCAAGTGCATAGAACTTCCTATTGTTGAATTTTGCATATCTTGTGATCCAACTATTCTAACCTCAGCTAAGAAGCAGTCAGAAGACCTGCACATGATGTTTATGGCAACAACATTCACAATATCTCTAAATTGGACACAAGTTATACCAATCTTAGAATAAAACAATGAACTATGCTATGTTCAGTGAATAAAATACTATGCAACAGAGAAGATGCATAGTATTTCAATATACCACCTCCCCCCTACCCAAAAAAAACTATGGTATACTATTTAGACTTCAAAATAATTTACTCTGCCATTTTTGACAATATGAATGAATCCAGAGGATGCTGTGCTAAGGGAAGAAAGCCAAGCACAGAAAGACAAATTCTATCTTTTGTCACTGACTTGTGCTAACAAACAATTCAGAAGGTAGAACGGTGGTAGCTGGAATTAGAGATGCAGGAGATAGGAGAAGCTGGCTAGGGCACAATGCTTCTATGAGGACGAATGAGTCCTCAAGAGCCACTCTGCAGCAGGGTGACTATAATAATACTGTGTCCTTGAAAGCTGACTAGAGAGTAGATGTTGAAATGTTCTCTAGGCCCAGCCACTTCTTCTCCTGGTAAGCAACAAGCAGTCCCCACGCTCACTCGGGGGACTGCTTCGGGCAGCCAGTGCACCAGTTGGCGCCAGGCTTTGCCTGCTGGCCGCCCAGCCAGGGAGCCCTGAGAAATTGGTTCTCTGTATGCTGCTCAAGACAGCTCCATGCTGAAACTGCGGTGTTCTGGGGACACCAAGCAACCCTAAAGATTTCCAATGTCTGTAAATCTTCCTCAGACGAACCTGCTGCTAATATGGTTTCACCCCATATGTTCTGAATGATTGTAATTCCCAATATAATGCCAATTCCTTACGATACACAGTAACTGGGTGGGAACACAGAGAAATCTTTCATCTCCTTTGAAAAAGCTAGGAATCCGCGTAGTGTAACCTATAGGAACTGGATAGGTATCTTAAAGTTGATAGATCCAGATCAGTATTAGACAATAGCAAAAACTACAATGACACACAGGGGGAATTAGGAACGACCCAAACAGTCTATTAACAGGTGGTCATATGCACAGAATAGGGGAGAACCCCAGAGCGGAACAGCAGGACAGGAGGAGGCTTATCCCCTACCCACAAGGACTCCTGGACTCCCACCAAGGTGTATCAGAACGGACACAAGAACGTCATCACAACTGCCAAAGAGAACAGGGGGATCTGGAATGCCTCCGGATGCCGAGAACCCAGAGGACAGACATCCCTCCTCTTTGGATAAACTACACGAGATGGAAGAAGCCCGAGTCCTTCCACATAGGAACTAACAACATCAGAACAACAGCCAGGAACCACGATCGGTCATCAGAACCAGAAGATCAATAAACTTCCTGAGGGACAATGGGAGAAGAACCTTCTCCAGTCCTTACCTAGTTCCAGCTCTGGGCCTCCACCCTCTGTAATGACCAACAAGGTTCCTCGTAATCCCCCTCCCCCCTACACACACACACACACACACACACACACACACACACACACTCATATACACACACTAATAGGATGAGATAAGCAAAGAACAATAAAGAAAGGTCATCAAGGACTCACACATGTCCTATTAGATGGAACACAAAGAACAAGTACCCATCAGCAAGGTATGAGAGATTTCTCTGCAACACCCCCCAAACTCGTTGCACACCTCAATTGATGAGGTGTCATTGAAATAGTTGCAGGAGGTAGTCAAGAACTTACATGTAATTTTAACATATTGTCTACTCAATACTATGTCAGACATCACATGTTTGCCTTGATTTAACCTGTAATTTATGCTTGGTTGTTTGTTATTTTTTGAACCTGTCATTGATACTGTCTCAACCCAGATGTTTTGAAGAATTGAACTTGCATTATTTTTTAACATATTGTTCACTCAATACTATGTCAATTAATTCCATAACGTTGTATATTGACACTGATGTTTTGTTGGGGATTTTAACTGACCGGAACTTTACTTGGTTAGCTCTACCTTCAGACCAGAGAAGGTCTCCCCAAGAGGCCACTGAACTTATCTGGACAATAAGATGCTGGACTTTATGCTAGGTATATGCTTGCAATGAAGGAATTTCAACCGAACTTGAGCTGCGGTTATGCAGCAAGGTGGAGGAATCCACTATGGGAGGAGGTGTGTGGGAGGGGTGGGGGGAATCCCCAGTGCTTATAAAACTGTATCACATAATACAATGTTAATAACAAATAAAAAAAATGAAAAAATGATGAGTATATGAGGTAGCAGATAATAATCAGATTGATCTAATCACTTAACACTCTACGTAAGTAACAAAACATCACCACATGTATTGTAAATTCTTGCAGGTGGGAGTACAGCCTCATCTGCAGTCAACAAGCTAATGAAGTTCTGGAATTCAGTCTTTCCAAATCAGAGACCACAACCTTTCTCGAGACAATGTTTTTCCACGGCTAGTCATAAAGCTCTTTCTTGTCCCACTAAAAGTTGAAGTAGAGCATTATCTGGCTTTACGAATTTCTCATGCTTGTGATTAAGGCCAACCAAATTCCAGGCCCTGTTGGAGAGAGATCTTCAGCTTCAGTATATGGATATCAAAACTGCCAATAACAATAACCTAAGGCTACTTCATTGTGAATGTGGCCTTTGCTTTAGAAAAGAATCCCATGATACTTTCCTACATCATGACTCATGTGATTAGCAATGGCATTTGTCTTACAGCTGTTGCCAGGAAAGAAAGCAGGGGCTGACTACAGCCAGGAGGGCAAGAGAACTCTTCTAAAAACAGAATGTAGGACAGTTCATTCTTCAACCCCTTCCAGAGAAAACTGGATGGATGAGGAGTATGTTGATGTCGTTTCAAAACAATCTGCTAAGTGCTCTTAGATCTTAGACCTTGATGATTGCATGACCTATATATTTTTTGGCAATGCTAGTGCCTTCAGGGGTCTGATGATCTGACAGGCGGTGGAGGTCCTCAGTGAAGATGAATTTGGAAAAAGCTGAGATAAGCAGACCAATTTCCTACAAAACTATTTCCTTCTGATCTTTGAAATGTTAAAGAGGCCACATCAGTGGATTATTTTGAGGACGGAAAAATGTGCCTTATAAAGACTGCCAGTGTCAACAACTAATCCTCCAAGCAGTGACACAAGTCAGATGAAGCACGCTCTCCAAGCAGAGTCACGGACTCTACCTCCCCAGGCTCAGGACAAGAGCAAACTTAACTAGCTTCCCAGTGTAAATGATGGCTTACTGCTCACGAATTTGGTCAACATACATAGTATGGGAAAGACTTGATCAGGTAATATACAGAAAATGTGAAATATTGGTTCTAGTATGTTGTCATCACAACACAAATGTATTCTACCTCATTATTGGGATCAGATGAAGAAATAAAAAGAAAGGTATTTAAAAAAATTTTTTTGGTACTCATTAAGTTCCCAAACTTCTAAAGATCTCCAGAGAACTGTAATATTATGTGCTAGAAGTGTTAGATGATTGCCACCAACCGCCCGCCCGCTGGTGGAATAATATCAGCAAGTTGTTCAGAGTTGAGATGGAAGCTTTATTGGAAAATCCACTCCTGGGCCCCCTTCGCACAGAGGGGAAGGAAGAGGGAAGCAAAAAGAAAGGGCGTCTGAGGTACGTGTGGAGGAGTTTTATACTCCTCTAGACATGTGGGAAGGCAAAGGGGCTGTCTGTGCCCCAACTATGCAAGGAATGTCCATTCAGGTGTGCCATTGGTCAACTGGAATCCCGCCAGGTGGGTGACGTAACTGGCTCCTGTGGCCCCTCCTCCTGTTCCAGGCTTGAGCCTAGGAGATGTCGGGGCGGGGCAGACCAGCCCCTAGTCTCCAGTGCCCTGTGCAGCCATCAAGAAGTATCATATTCTGTCATAATCAAATATTTCAAACATGATTTTGGTAGCAGCAAACCAATACAAGAGGTAAGATTACCTCTTAAATGTTATTTTTCAAAGAGTCAATTTGTCTTCTTCCTTATTTGACACATATGCAATCATCATGTTAGAGAACTAAAAGGAGGTTTAGGTATCATTTTAATATCAAGGAAACTAGAAGCCAGAGATGAACAGGATGTTAGACCCAGTACAAAGAAAGACATCTTTCAGTGCCTGTACAATTCTTTATAAAATGATAACCTGTAAACCCACCGGGAATATGCTGAGTGATCCTTACATGGTGTAATCATGCAAACCAAGAGAAATGAATACTTGCAGAACCAAATCCTATGGATCAAGTATTTCCACATAGTTTAAACCCTTCAGTCTTCACAAAACCTTTGCAATATGCGGTTTATGAGAACAAATGTAAAGGTGAGGGGAGAGCTCAGAACAGATCCCAAGAGGAGCAGCCAGTAAGGCTGGCACTCAGACCCGGGTGTCACCCAACTAGAGTCCACTCCATTCACATTCTCTGGACTCTCTGAAAGGTTCCATTCTGCAACTGGGGGGAAAAGGCCACTTGTTCTAATTTCCTGGCTAGGAAACAGGTAAGCAGAAGGTGAACAGACAGAGAACAAAAACTGTCTCCTGGTCACCTACCTGTGGTTGAGTCAATGGTGAAAAGGGATGAGAGCTCTCCCGGAAGGAGCGCGTAAGCCACTGCTCCAAAATGCCCAGCATCCCTGTCAGTCGCCAGAACATTAATGATCTCGGTGCCTGGCGGAGTCTGCCTGCTGATGCTTGTCACATAGGTTGATGGGTTAAACACGGGACGGTTGTCATTCACATCTTCCAGCTCCACACGGACAAAAGCCTGGGCGCTCAGTCCACCCTGCGGGGCGAATGAACAGCAATTATCTATGAGTCTGTGCTCAACACTGACTGGGGTACAGAGCTGACAAGAACCCTAGAACAGTCTCTTCAGGCAAAATCCACATGTATGCATGTATGTACACACACATAAACACATAGACACACACACAGCTCTCTTTATATGCAGAGATGAGTTCATACATGAAAATCACAATATCTAGCACCTTAGCACTGGCGATTAAACATAAATGAGGCTACCGCTGAAAGTCCCAATGAGGGCAAAACTGACAGAACAGAGGCCAAAGAGGTTCAAAGAAATTCTTTCTGACAGCCAAAAAAGAAATGAACATCACTTTTATCCCTAAGTTAATTTAAAAATGAAGGCTGGTGCTGAGGAAAGCAGTAAGGGAGATGGGGGGAGGGATGGGACCCAGTAAAAGTCTTACTAAGAACACATAATTAAAGCATGAATTAACCTAAATGAGGGAGGCTAGGCTCCAATTAGCTGGAAGAAAGAATAGCAGGCAGAATAAGGAGCAGGAACAAGGGCCCTGAGGCAGGAGCGCAGAGCAGGTCTCTGGCCTGATCAGGACAACAGAGAAGCCAGCAGCTTGAGGTCAGTTTGAGTTGCTAACTCTCCCTGCGAACTGAAAGACAGCAAACTGGGGAGATAGAGGCCACGGGGAAGCTCGTGAAATCAAGCCCAGAACTGATGGAGGTCTGAGTGAAAAAAGGAATGGTGAGGACGCACCCCATACACGTGGGACCCTGTGTGGTTTGGAATTCTGAATTCTTGCAGGTTTCAAAAGCTCACAGGTTTCCCCCAAAGTTCCTGGAAGATACATATTATTGCCTCCATCTGAATGCAAAAAGAGTGAACAAAATAGGGGAAAATACTCCTCAGTAATTTTAACGTTCTGCAATAGAACATATGCTCCCATTTTTCATTTCTATGTGGTGCATTTTGACAGTTCCAGCCTTGAGAAAAACCCTTGGTAAGTCACGACCGCCTGGTTTTCTCACTTATTCTCCCTTTCCTTTTTGTCTTGTTGCACGGGAGGCACTGAAAAAAAGAGAAAAAAAGAAGGGGCAGGAGAGGAGGTGATGTGGCAAGAGATGAAGGGAGGACTCCATTCTGCAGACACAAGGGAAGCACTTGTTGGGCAAGGGAGGGTGAGGAGAGGAATTTCGTTTGGGATGAGCCTCACCATACATGTGGAAATGGTTCGCACATTCTGAGATCCATGCTCTTTACTCTTTGGGTACTAACAGAAGAACTGGGCTTCCCATCCTTAAAAATATAGGAATATTTCAAGAAGTTTGCGGAAAAATAGAATGAGAAGTATATTTGGGTTGCAAATGTTTCTGCAATCCATGCATATGAAAGGGTCTTCAAATGGTTCATGAAAAATATGAGAGAGGGCATCAACAGGGTAGATCCAACAGAAGGGATCTGTGAAGCTGGAGACAGGATATCTGAAAGATAAGAGGAAAGAAATAATGAAGAGCAATGAAAAAAACTTACAGGAACTTTGAGACAGCATTAAATGAGCAAATATCTAACTTTTTATTGGGGTTGAGAGAGAACTGAGGATTGCAAAGAGATGGAAAGCACATTCCCAGTGACAATAAATCTTTTGAAACACAAACAAAGATCCAAGATTCAAGGCACAGGGTGGCAGAAGATTACATTCGATTCAATTCAACCACATCCATCTCAAGATAAAATCAAGTATCTTAGGCAAAAGATAAACAAAGAACTATTAAAGCAGGAACAGAAAAGAAGTAAGTAGCAAATAAAGGTAAACCAGTTAAATGTGCTGCAGACTTAGCAGACACCAGAGATGCTAGGCAGTTGCATGAGATGTTCACAGAACTCAAATAATAAGACTTGCCAAACAGCTTTGTATCCCACAAAGCTACCTGTGAGATGTGAAGGAGGGGCAAAGACATTCAAACACAAATAAATGAGAGAATTTATTAACCCAGAACTGCCCCATAAAAATTGCTAACTGGAGTTCTTCAAACAGAAAGATAAAGATGTTAATGAGTTAGAAGAGAATATGAGAAAGCTGCCCAACTCTGGAAGGAGCAATAAGGTCCTATGTATTGAAGACTAAAAATCATTTTAGAAATAATAACTATACTAATATTTTAAGAGATAGGTATCACGGCAACATTTAAAATGGAACATAAACAATTCAAAATGTGAGCCAAATGTTTGGCATACTTGGATGCCAGTTGGAACATGTGCTTTCCACGTCAATGTGTCTGGACTCCATTTGTTACCCAGCCTCCTGTTCATGCACATAGTAGGGGGAAGTGGATGATGACTCAAGTGTCTGTGTCACCAAAACCCACATGGAACACTCAGGTTGAATTCCTGGTTTCTGATTTCATCCTGACCCAACCCAGGCTGTGGTGGGCACTTGGGGAAGGAAACACTGGTGGGATTGCTCTCTCTCTTTCCACCTATCAACTTAAGCAAATATTTAAACTCAAACATGGAGAGGAATAGAGATTTTAAAAACGGAATTCTAATTAAATGTCTATGTTAGTTTATTTTCCTATGTTAATGCTCAGCATTAAGCGGTTGTGATTTCAAAATAGCTTGTTATAATTAGAAGATCATTTTGTAAGCCTCATGGTAAATACAAAGCACAAGCTTATCACAGACTAACCAAAAGTAAGCAGAGACTCAAAGAAAAAAAAAAGAAAGAAAAAAAAAGAAAAGAAAAGACAAATACTGCTCGAGAAACCACTAACCAGAAAGGAAACCTGTAAGAGGGAGAGAGGGACTGGCCTGTGGCACAGTGGGTTAAGATGTTGTTTGGGATGCCAGCATCTCAAATGAACACTGGTCTGAGTCCTGACTACTCCATTTCCAATCCAGCTCCATGCTGGTGTGCCTGTGAAAGCACTTGAAGATGATGCAAGCACTCTCCCTCGTGTGGGGGAGGTAGGCGGAGTTCCAGGATACTGGCTTAGTTCTGGTCTAGCCTTGGTCATTGCAGCTCCTTGGGGAATAAACCAGTGGGTGGAAAAATCTGTCTCTCCCTCTAATTCTTCCTTTTAAATAAAGGAAAGGAAATCAAAGTAAGAGTGGGGAGAAGAAAAGAATTACAGTAAAACTAGGAAACAAGCCACAAGACAGTGGTAAGACTTTACCTTAGCACTAATCACTGTAAAAAGGGTACGATCTGACTACTAGCTACTTAAGGAGATTCACTATGCCTCTAAACACATATATAGACTAAACCGAAGTGACAGACGAAGACATTCCATGCATGAGCTGGGATTGAGACATAGTGAGTAAAGCTGCCACCTGAAACGCCGGCATCCCATACAGTGTGTGAACTCGTGTCCTGGCTATTCCACCTCTGATCCTGCTTTTTGCTAATGGCCTGGAAAAAGCAGCAGCAGGCGACTCAAGTTTTTGAGCCCTACAACCCACACATGAGACCCAGATGCTGCTCCTGGGCTCTGATTTCTAGCTGGTCCAGCCATTGCCCTGTATAAACAGTTGGAAATTTTCCCTTTTTCTCTGCCTCTCTCCCCCTTGTACCACTAACTTTCAAAATAGATAAATAGCTAAATAAATCTTTAATGTAATATTTCATGCAAATAGATTACAAGACATCAGAGTGACCATAATTAGGTCATATAAAATAGATTTTTAAATCAGAAGCAGGAAAAAGAGAGGTCACTATGCATGAAAAAAGGACAAAGTAAGCAAGAGTAAATAATTGCATGTGCACTACAATAGAGGGCATCAAATTATATATAAAACAAATATTACTAGATCTAAAGATAAAGCTAGGCTCTAACACAAGAATAGTAGTGGACTGTGACACCACACGTTCAGTAGTGAACATTCCATCCAGTCAGCAAATGAGAGGAACACCAGAGTCAAGTCTCACCCTTGACCACCTGGACCCAGCAGCTGTCTATCTCTAGAACCTTCCATCTAATAGCTGCAGAACACACATTCTTCCCAAAGCACAGGGAACCTTCTCCAGAACAGATCACATAATGGGTCACCAAATAACTCTCAATCAGTTTTTAAAACTAAAATCATATCAAGTCTCTTTTCTGACCATAATGAAATACAACTACAAATCAATAACAAGAAAAATTTGGCAACTAGACAAAAAAATAGAATGAAAATTAAACAACTTACTTCCATAAAACCAGTGCACCAAGGAAGAAATTAAGAAGGAATTTTCAAGATTTCTCAAACAATATAAATTGAAATAGAATATACCACAAAACCCTATAGAAACATTAAAAGGAATACCAAGGCAAAACTTATAATCATCCAAATTTGAATTTAAGGCACCTTATACAAGGATCTCAACTTATTGCTACACTTAAAGGAATTAAAACAAAAAGTATAAACCAAGTCCCAAATCAGAAGAAAAGTAATGCTAAAGCTCATTGCAGAAATGAGACTTTTAAAACAATACCAAGGATCAAAGAAACAAGAGTTATTCAAAAAGATAAATGTAACTGACACACTTCTAGCTAAGAATTACTGAGCAAAAACAAAATCAGACCTGAAAGGGGGTACTTTTACGACTGACACCACAAAAATACAAAGGGCTATTACAGAATATTATGAACACTTATGTAACAAATTTGACAATATAGAAGCAAGGGACAACATCTGAGACATAAACTTTGCCAAGATTGAATTACAGATGAACAAAAGCAGAACGTGTGACCCTGGCGTCACATCCTGGCTGCTCCACGTCCAACCCAGCTTTCTGTTAATGACCTAGCAAGCAGTGGAATACAGCCCAAGTACTTGTGTCCCTGCCATCCAGCAGGGGGACCCAATGCCTGGTTTCAGCTTACCCAGGCGCTGGCCATTGCAGCCATTTAGAGAATGAACCAGTAGATGAAAGATCTCTCCTGTTTCTCCCTCTCTGACTTTGATACAAGTCAACTAAAACAAAGCAAAACAAAACAAAGACAAGAACTCAGCAAAGACAAAAAAGCTAGAGGAGGCATCAGCAT